CTTAGGGCCAGGGTTTGGGGGTGGGATGGCGGGGTTGGGGGAACGGTTGGGCTGGGGGAGCTTAAGGGGCTTTTCCAACCCAAATGATTCTGTGATTCTATGACTGTAACCTCTTACCAGGAAAACTGACTACAAAATGGGCTGTCTCTCCAGGCCCTGGCTACCTTTTTTGATATAGATTATTAGTGTAATGGTTTTGGGGATAAAAATGTATGTTGGATGACTCATAGGATGCAGTCACATCTATTCCAATCTCCTTTAGCTTTCCAGAACATGAATTCCAAAAGGAAAGCAGAGACTTGGAAGAGAAACAGACGGCAGTTGGTAAGTACGTTTCACCTGCTTGGAAATGTTCTCCGCCGAGCTGTTGTGTTCAAGTGGCCCACATATTTAAATGACAGGTACTAACCCATTTCAGAGTTCTGAACAATGCTGAAATAAAAAAAAAGATTTGTGCTTTTTCTTTTCTAAGAGAGGAATGACTCTAGATTGCCCTTCATCCATCTGCTGAACAGCTGGTGACATATGTGCCCGAGATAGCACTGCCATAATTATTTATGTTGATGTCTGATGCCTCCCAGCTAAAACTCACAGTTCTTGCCACTTTGAATATAACCAAGCGCTAATGACCCATTCCAAGGTGTATATAGACAGTGGTACCTTTCCCCATTTCCCTGATGGTATTTTAAGACTTGTTCACATGAACAATGTTGATTTTTGTCTCTCCATATCGTGAAATTAAAAGGCTTTAAACAACTTTGCTAAAGGACCTTCGAGACAATCTGGTACCTTCCTCAAATTAACCATTGTTGCCTAAGTTCCCGCTTCCGTATCAGGCAGTTCTCTCTAAAGATGTGTAACTGGTGGTCTTTGTTCCAGGCTTTTTCTACTGTGGGTACTCCGGATTACATTGCCCCTGAAGTTTTCATGCAGACTGGATACAACAAACTTTGTGACTGGTGGTCGCTTGGGGTCATCATGTACGAGATGTTGATCGGTAAGAAATGGGCAGCGCCCAAGTTTTCAGCAGGGTCTGTGGTGGAGGACATGAGCTGTGTTTATGTGCTTGGGGTCTGGTTCTCAAAGCATCCTCTCCTTGCATGGTTTGTGAGGTTTCTTCTGGTGCACTGTAGACTTCAGTAACTACAGGAACTATTTTTGCTTTGTACAAGATTGTATTTTTCTTTCTTTTCAGGTTATCCACCATTCTGCTCTGAGACTCCTCAGGAAACATACAAGAAAGTAATGAACTGGAAAGAGACTCTCACGTTTCCTCCAGAAGTTCCGATATCTGATAAAGCAAAGGATCTTATTTTAAGGTGCCAACCATATGGTTTGCCAGTTAATACAGTACTAGGTTGCTTGTCTTACAAACTGTACTATGTACTTCTCATAGGTTGTTTCACATGAAAAAACCATGATGCTTGTGACAGCTACGTGCTCTGTTATGCACATGCATCAAATGCTGAACTCCCTCGTCAAATCCATTTGTCTCTCCGGGGTTATTTAGTGGAGCCTCGACTGAACTATACTAAAAAGGAGCTCCCCTGTAAGTGCTGCTAGTCTGGCAAAATACGAACGTTTCTGCTCTTTATTTTGTCTGTGAGCTTCTTGTGGAAGCAACGTAACCTTTTTGCCAGAGCTAGCTCCTTACAGTAGGAATGGTTTTGACGTTGTATGCACTGGAGCATACAAATGTATCCCAGTGCATGCTGACTCTTGCTCTTTCATTTCTATTATCAATCACTTATCTGTTCTTTGGACAGAAATATAAATGTCTAGCTTTTTAGGCTTTATATGTTCTGCTCTACGCTGGTCCTGAAATAGAAAGGGCACATTATCCTGTTGTGAAAGAATACCACATCTTAATTGTAGCATTTGCCATGACATTCCTAAGCATAACTTCGTGTGTTGGTTTTGCAGTGGGAGTTCTTGACCTTCTCCATTTACATGTTAAGAAACCGTAGTAGTATCGGTTCAGAAAGCCGTTCCATTTCTGGATGGAATGCTTTTTGTTTTCATTCTTCCTTCATTTGCATTCTTCCTTCCATCCCAGATTTTGCTGTGAATGGGAGCACAGAATTGGTGCATCTGGTGTGGAGGAAATAAAGAGTAACCCATTCTTTGAAGGGGTTGATTGGGAGCATATCAGGTAAGATGCTTTGGAGAAAAGCAAGCTGCTCTTCTCTAGGGACTGTTTAAAGCTACTCCAGCTCGACAGAAGTGAGCAGCTTGACTGGCATTTGTTGTATCTAGGTGTATCTAGTATTTTGTCCGTATCTGAAGCTTGTGAAGGCTTAGGTACCTTCAGTCTTTTTTTCTGTTAAGAAACGGAAAGTGGTTGAATCCTGCTTTCTTCTGCCTTTGAAATCTTAATGCTGAACCTGCTCTTCTTGGCAGAGAGAGACCTGCTGCAATTTCAATAGAAATTAAAAGCATTGATGATACCTCAAACTTTGATGAATTTCCAGAATCCGACATCCTTAAACCAACAGGTAAATGCTTTGATTCCACATGTAAACAGTCCTTCCTTTTCTCCAACAGAATAATGTAACTTTCCTGTTAATCAGAGGAGGGATCTTACTAGATGCTGATCGTGATCAAATTGTTAGCTTGGTAGTCTTGCGGTGCAGGGGTGTGCAAGCTGTCATTTGGGTTTCAGGAGATGGGATGCAGACTTGGGAATCATGCAGGAGCCGTTGGAGGGAGGGCATCTCTAAGAGGCAGCAGAGCTCCCAGTGAGTTCAAATCTCAGCAGGACCTGTGAGCCCAAAGCTTCGTGGGCCTCTTGGTATTGACTGATTCTTGCTCCCGTATCTAAGGCTTGGTACAGGGGAGAGGGAGAGGGTGGGACAGAAGGGGACATTATGTTTTGGTGTAAATCTCTAAAGGATCCTTGTATTTACGTGTCGGAGCATATTCACGCATTTGCTCTGTGGGGTTGAATGATACTGAATGCCTACATTTATGGTATTTCTTTCTTTTGAAGCATTCTCCCCTACTCCACATCCAGTGTTTTGTATGAAAACAAGCTTTGCAGTCTCCAAAGGTTAATTTTATTTTTCTATGTCTTATCAGTGGCAACAAGCAACCATCCAGAGACTGACTACAAGAACAAAGACTGGGTTTTTATCAATTACACCTACAAGCGTTTCGAAGGTCTGACAGCCCGAGGAGCAATACCATCCTATATGAAAGCAGGAAAGTAATAAATCTTTACCTGGGACAACTTCTAAGCAGTGGAATTCTGTTGCTGTACTTTGGGTTTAATACCCATAAAAGAACTTTTCTTTTTTTAAAGAAAACTTGAGGGCTATCAACTCTTGGAGAAGACTTCAGGACCCTGTTTTGTTACACACCCTGGTTGTTACTAAGGATTTTTTCTTTCTGCACCGTTGAAAAATTCCACAAAATGTTTGCATCATCTCTGCTGCGAGCACGTTTTGCTGCTTCAGGAGCAAGAGTTTGTTTTCTTTTTAAATGCTTTGCCAGATTGTACAGTCCATCAGGAGATGAGAGCAAGCCTTCACTTTGACGTTGCAAAGCGCATGATGTTTATGTGGACTGTTTGCCAGTCCTGCATTAAGTGACAAACTCAATCTGCCAATTCTGCCAGCACTGTTTTCCCAGTGGCTAAGGACTTCAGTACAGAGGAAACAAAGCAATAATTAAAGCTTGACATAGACAGCTCTCTGATAACTATCTAGTAGAAGGACGCAACTTGTATTGCCTTAACCTTAGTTTGTAGTGCTGTTTTTTATAATGCTACTCGGAAGCCTCTTTAATAGCATTTCTCAACTCTGTTGCAGTGGCCTCCAGTTGCAGTGCACTTTACTTTTGGTACTAAGACAGTGACCCTCAAGCCATTTAATATTTTTTCTAAATTAAAAAATTGTGCGACACTTTTTTTCTTTTCTAGACAAGTCTTAGGGAGAAACAGGCCACTCCTCCAGCGCCAACAGTTTTCAGTTACTGTATGAAAGGATGGATCTATAAACAATGCAGGTAATAAAAACTACAGCTGGTAACACAGGTGGGTCTGGAATTAGAGCAGAGAGGGAGGGAAATTCATTTAGCCTGATCATCCATGGGCATCTTGTGTACAGTTGGGTCAGCTGTGAGGCTTCCCCGTTCCTACTGCTGCCATCTTTTGGCCACTTAAAAGATCTGCTGCATTTTCATCGGTTTACAAGATGAAACCATCTTTTGTGGCCTTTTTGCTCTTGGTTTTGAGTAGAACAGTATTGGATTTTTCTGTGAATCTTGATGACAGAGGCCTCCCTGGCTTTTCCATGCAGAGCTCCTCCTGCGGTCGTGGCTGAACCATCTGTCCCTGTAGTCTTCCAAAGAGACGGTGCCCCATGAGGTCACTTTTGGGGCAGTGGAACCCACCATGTCCACTCTTTGATTACTGCCTAATATAAGTTATCAGAGGACATTCAGTTATGATCAGGATGCTCTCCAGGAGAGCCCCAAAGTGCCTTTCCTTGCCTAAGCATCTCTCAGAACATGACTGCATTTTGGGAGGGAGGATTCTGCCTCAGTTGAGCTTTTGGTAATTCCTATTTATAATCACGAGCTCCGCCTGGCGCCTGTTTTGTAGTTACCTCTGCAGTTCCAGGGGCAGGTGGCATTAACCTTTGGGCCAGCCTGGTACCAGTCTTCAATTTGCGATTGGATTTTAAAAAAAAAAAAAAAAAATGTAAGGAGGTTTCTAAAAGCATGTCTCAATTTGAACTGTCTTGGATTCTTGCGAACTTTATTGGTGCTGAACACTAACTACATAGCACAGATGAAAAAAAAAGCTATTTACAAACACAGCTAGTGTTTTGAAGTAAAAGGAAGGCTTTCAGTTATATTTAGGCCTATCTTTCTAGATTAGGAAATGAAAGAAAATGAGTTTGTAGTGAAACTTTTTTTTTTAATAGGTGCTTTTAGGGAATTTTTACGTAGATACCTTTTGAACCGAGTGCCATCATGAAGGACTGATTGGTGGATTGGAAGTACAATGTATAGCTAGAGCTGGGTGATAGCTCGTTAACATCCTTTCCCTAACTCCCCCTTGTGTTTTTTGTATGTGTCCTAGGAGTTTAATGAATTGCCATAAGCAGTTGAGATGCCAGTTGGATCCTACAAAGCTAAAATGCAAAACCAGCCTTAATTAGAAGTACCAGGATCACTGCAGTCAGCAGGGCTTACTCAGATGAATAAGGGCTAACTGAAGTAATGACTTATAGGGTCGGGCTTTTTATCAACTAGCCAGTAATATCACCTTCTGCTCTCTTTTTATTGTCTATGAAGGACTGATACCAACTTCTCAAATTGCTCTATCTCCTTATCCTACAGTTTCTTCTAGCCATTGAAAATGTTGCCTTATAAACCATTGGAAAACTAAGAGGTATTAACATCAAAACATTTTTTTTAAATTTCTAATAGCTTAATTACTGCCTTAAAATTAAAAAAAAAAAAAATTCTTTAAAGCTGCTGTGGATTAGGAATAAATAATTTTGAGTAGCTGCATTATTAGCCCTTTACTAAAAGGGACTGGCATTTTTATTTATGAATACCAAAGATGAAGAAGCTACACAGTTGTACATTGTGATAACTTGCTGTGAAAAACAAACCAACCACCCTATATAATAATGTGTTGTGCATTTTTAGTGCATGTGTTTTAAAGCCTTCTGAAACCTCAGTGTTCACTTTTTGAGTTGAAGGTGAAGTTTCTCAAAGGCCTGAGGAGCAGTTGGGTACCTCACTCCTGTTGTCTCTCAGAAGTTGGATGTCTTCAAATGCAATCCTCTTGGACGCGCCTTTCCAGCGCTCGGCTTTGTATCGCAGTTCCATCTCAAGCCGGCTTCCTATTACAGTTGTTCACCAACACTAGGAAAAAAAAAAGTACAGTGTCTTCTTTCCAGGATCCATGCTTCACTGCTAACAGATGAAGAGTTTTGTACGCCTGTTCCATCTCCCATGTTAGCCAAACATTTTTTCTTAGCTGCTGGCTTGTGTATTGAGGTCGTATGTATCTTTTAGCTCTTTTTTTTTTTAAGCTGCAGGCAGTTGCTGGACTTCTAGGAGTAATTCCAATCTGAATTTCCAATGGATCTGAACATGAGTTACGTTGCCAGTTTATCTCTGTATCACGCCTAACACAAAACTGCACTAAGTGTTTCTTATTACTGTGCCCTGACTCTGCCTTAACCTGTAAGTTGAAGGAGTGTTCTGTAAATATTTAAAAGCTGTTACTAAATTGCACTGTAAAATTTGGCAGGTGTATTGTGTGCTGCTGGGGGAGCCAACTTTTTATGGAGCGATCTTTGCATTGTGTTGTGTAAATAAAATCCTCTTAGTAAACATGATTTTGTTAGGGTGTTTTGTTCTTACAAACTGGAATCTTTCAGGTTGGGTTTTTTCCAGACTTGAAACTGATTTTAGAATCAACTGCTTGGGTATGAAAATGCAATGGTAAATCAGGAGATGAAGACTGCATTTCCAAAAGCTGCACAGCGGACATGAAAAAATGAGCGTCCTATTAAAGGTGAAGGACCATGCTGCACTTCAGAAGAATTAAACCTTTCTGGTAGAACGTGCCTGCCCTCCTGGAAGGGGTGGAGGACCCTGACCTAACTCATGCCTGAGGTGTCTGCATGGTGTAAATGTCACTTTTGTTTGTTTACCATCTTCAGGGCAAGTTGTTTTTAATCTTTTCCACTTTCTATTTTTAAAAGGGATAAGCAGTGAGCAAGTGGCATTGGAAGCAGAGCTATAACCCTTCATTTTTTTTTTTTCCTACCAGTCTGTAACATGCCAAAATCAACTTGCAGTTCTTATTTCTTGCTTCATGCCACTAGTGAGTACAAGTTCCTGTTATCACTTCAGTAATTCCATTAAATTCCACCTTGTTCAAACTCCAATGCCTTTCTCAAGCTTCATCAAGAAAACCCTTGAAATACATCCAACACTGAAGATGGAAATAAAAGCCAGACCTGCTCCAAAGCTGTTTTCTTCCAAAGACAGAAGTAGGTGGAAGTGGAGAGCATCTTTCACAGCATGGTAACCAAAAATAGCACTGGGCCCCATCAGAGATGCTGCATAGTTTGTGGGTTAAGTAGCGTTGTCTCATACGTGTGCTATGTGCTGCTTTTAGAACTTCACTGCAAGGAGTTGGTAAACTTCGAGGTCCTCTCAGCGCAAGCGGTAGTAATGCTTCTGGGCAGCTGCTGCACAGGTCTCTCCATCAGGCTCTCTCTGATGTGAAACTACTACTAAGATTTTGTGGGCACAAGCCACACTTACTTTATGAAGCAAGGAAACAAACCCTTCTAGCAATCTATCCCCTGCCCATTTGCCTACTCCACATTTAAAAGAGGTTTTAAAGGAGCCAAACAAGCTGCATACAATTTATACTTTAATACAGAAAAGAAACCATACATCTGTAGTTCGTACACACCACAGGTAACACTTCAGTATATCCAGAGTAAGACAATACTTGACCTTGTACCTGAACAGTAGGTGACCAAGAGAGGAGGAAAAGCAAATACACACTTTTTCAACTTGATTTAGTGTTCCAATGGAACTCTACTTACTTAAAAAAAAAAATAATCCAAAATTCATCTTTAATTACTTGGGAAAGCCAATCGAGTACAGTGGCTTTCTGGAGCGATAAAACCAGCATGGATATCGCAGATGCTGGATACCTCTATCCCATGCTGAAGGTCCAAATTGATTACATGGAGTACCAACAAGTTCCTATGAGGCACTGACAGTCTTTAACCCTCAGACAATGGCCTGCTGCACTTAAGTGCCTGGGGCCATAAACTGGCCGAATCCTTCCAGCGGCCTTGCTGACACTCGTCTCAGGGACAGACACTGGTGGGGTTTGGTTTGGCTGAGTATGGTCCTTGGCTGTCAGATCCCGTAAGGTGCTGTTGATGTCGGATGCTTAGCAGTCCTGTAGGGTAGCACTCAAGAACATGCACGTTCAAGTCCTTATGTGTGTAAACTCCAACTCCAAGTCACCTGGTCAATACCAATACACATTGACTTAAAACTGTAAAAATAAATACGCAAAAAAAAAAATGCATAGGGCCTGGGGGCAAGCTCCATCATTGTTGGGGGGAGAGTCTCGCCCCTGCCTTTGCTTGACTTGTGAGAACAGCTCGTTACCAAGGCAGGTAATGAGTTTGGTCTGGCCCCTAGATGGAAGGTTAATGGTCCATATGTCTTCCTTTCTCTACTACAAAAATAGAAATTCATCTAGAGCAATAATGGAAAGTGATTGCACACTGTCTCTGTGCAGATACTGAAGGACACTTCTCCAATGACACACAGGGAGGATTTTTCAAAAGCAGCGCAGTGCACCTGGGCATCTGAACCCCTGGGACTCTCAGGAGGTCCCGAAGAACTTTTGGAAATCTTCCCGTAGGCACTTATAAAAAGAAGAAATCTATTTGCTGCACTTAAGAAAGAAGCTAAGAACAGAAACACTACAAAGAATGGAAGCTGTATCCATACAAATGGGAACTAAATATACCAGCAAGTATATGCCTTGGCAGAGATTTTGTTACTCGTAACTAAAACGACACTCATAAACCTTCAGGAAAATTTGCACTTGATATTGTCATGTTACTTACTTACACTGAAACCCCCCCCCATCCTTAGCAGCAAACAGTAACAGTGATCTTCAAGGCTAAGTCTAACATACACTTTGCAGACAGATGGAGAATAATAAAAATTTGCTTGATGATGGAACCCTGACAACAAAGGATTAAACCTTCTAGGGGATACCTACCTCTATTTTGCCAAGTATGACCAGGTAACTCCACGCATAAGTGGTACAGGTTTCAACAGCAGTCAACCGCAAGAGCAGAACTGACCTGAACTTAATAACACTGCAAGGGAGCTCTCGCCCCCTCTCTCTCTCTTTATGAATGGGTTTCAGCTTTTCTTTGCGCCAGCACCATGTTGAAGTACTCCGCTTCAGGTACGTAAAACCCCTACACAGCCATCAGAAATGACAGCTTTGTAAGGCAGGCCCGTTCTGGTTGGCGTGCAGCTCGGCTGTGGCAGTGCTGTGTGCTCATCAGGGGGTTAAGCAAGCCCACAGGAACTCCATACTGCAGGAACAGGACTAGCTGGGCTCTAATATAACTAACTGAGCTAAACCAGCCTGGAGTGTGTCTACAGCTATAGTCACAGCTTTGCTGGCCCCGAATCCAAAACGAACAGAGCCTTAACCACAGACTAGGATTATATATTCAGAGCAGCAAAGGAGAGTTGTTCCTAGGTACATGTATTTTTCTCTACTGAAGGCTGGCTTACCATTGGTATTCCTTACCTGCCTGACAGCAAAATGGTCCAGTCAGTTCCAAGTTGGGAAGAAAGTAGCTGGCCTTTTAAAGCTGCAACAGTAGAATGCTCCTTGGAGAGCAATTTTGACTAAGGTTGATGAGACCAAGGATCTTACTCAGGTAGTAAACTGTCTGTACTGGGAGCTTCTCCACTGGCTTTTTTTGTCTTAGCAGGGGGGTGAAGGAGACAACTGAAAAGTCTTTAGCATGCACAGTCACCTCTAGAAAGCTTCTTACATCTATCAGGCTACTAAACAAATTACTTTGTCAGTAAAATATCAAGTACAGTCTCTTCTTTTTGGCTTATTTCCTTCAGCATGATCTACTTGTTTTACTGAACTTAACAGACAACATCCCTAAAACCAGTGATTCCATCTTACAAGGAAATATATACGGGAAATTCCTGTGAACAGACATATGCTTCCTATTAAAACTAGTTCATCCTACCCTAGAACAGCAGTACAACATGCTGGATGCAAAGCCAGGTGGCAGTGTAAACAGATTCCTCCACACGCAGGATTTTGCTTTCATTCCTCCACACTCAGTATTTTGCTGTCGCAACTGTGCTACATTTCTACTGATTGATGAAAGAGTATCATTTGTCCCGCTTTGATGTTCAGTCCTTTATAACTGATTATCACAAAAGCAAAGCCAAGTGCCTAATGGTAAAGGAAAGCTTTGTCTTGACAGGCCCAGAATTTCCTCTCTCATGCCAAACAAGATGTTTCTAAACACTTCAGCTCTTCTTTTAGATGTTTAGGTAAAATATTCAGCACCCACCAATCTGGAAGCCTTTGTAGTAGAAACAAACAGCATAATTTCTTTTTGTTTGAGGAGACGTTGCTTTTGATTGCACAATTAGACTATGGAGTGTGGCTCTTTATTAACATGCTTGAAATATGACAATGTAGTAAGAGCATGAATGAGGATAAAGCACCTTGCAGGAGTCTGTGTTCCATCACCTGGGATGAAACTATGCCGAGATGTTCCCACCCTGAGCCAGGACTAATCTGGTAGATCATTAACAGCCATTTGGGAGAATGGTGCGTTTAGCCTGTCGAGTTCATCTACTTGTGGGGGATGATGCATTATAACCTCATGGTCCTCCGAAACATCATCGCCCACAGTGACTAGGTTTGTTAGAGATTTGCTCCGGACACACTGGAAATCAACATGACGGCTTTTGCCTTCTTCCTTTTCCCATGACATCTGGATGAATGGCCGTTGAACGTAGTTGTATATCACTTCTGACCGGCCACCAGGCCTCCTCTTCACCTTCTCTTTACAGGTGGGATATCCTGAAAACACAGACAGCCACTCAGTTGCACTACACACCTTTGACTTGCCCAAAGGGACAACAGGATCCCAGAAGAACAGGAGTGATTACGGGGGCAGGGAGCACTTGGTAGACAAATGCTCACATTCTACATTATTGGCTTGCAAAAGACTGCTTTCTTTTCCCCTGAAAAGATGGTGCAGCATTGTGTGTAGTCTTACAACCACCGGCTGCACAGTGTTAGCCATTCTGCAAGCAAACATAGCTACTATGAAAATAAGTCTCCCAGGACATAGCATGTTCCCTAAAGTCCCTAGGGGAATACTTGGATCAGCAGGTGGAGGCATGACTCCCCTTTCCTGTTTGCTTGGTCCTAAGGAGACAAGGCTTACTGGTACATGCTATGTAGCTCTCATTTTTCCCTTAACTTTTAAGCCTCCTGCCCAATTTCAATGTAACATGGTAGAAGTGAAGGAAGATGCCCAGCTTCTACTAATTTAATGAAAATAAATGCCTAGTGACACACAGAGCAAAGCAGGAAATGCCTCGAGTCCAGAGGAAACCAGGCTTTACTGACTATGGAGTCACCCGTTTTACAATTTCCTTTGTTGAAGAAATACTTTACCTTCAATGCCAATGCGGATATTTTTCAGGCCCCGCTCCTTTAATACAGCTTTTGCAACATCGCGGTTCTCAATGTACTTGAAGAATCTGTACAGCTTGGAACTGTAAAGGACTTTGAGAAATAAAAAGGGTGATTAGAATGTACAGGGACCTTCTCCCTGTTTTTGACATGCTCAGCGGCAGGGATGCCAAAACCCAGGTCTGGTTTCCAAGAACTACTTCAGGTGTCTGTTCTGGCTGGGCTGGGATTAGCTATGCTTCCTTGGTGGGAGGGTAGTGATAGACATTACAGTCTGGATAGAATGGGTGGTGATGGGTGGGTAAAGCAAAGAGTACTCACGCACTGAGGAGCCAGGAAAAGACTGAGGGGGAGGTGGCAAACAAAAGGAAAAGATGCAGTGAGTGCTGTCGTTACCAGTACAGGCAGTCAGACCAAAGCTCTACCTAGCCAGGTATCCTGCCTCTAGCAGCAGCCAGTTCAGAAGGAATGTACAAAACAGGACTCTGTGCCAGCATCTCTTCCTGGAAGACTGCTGTTTGGGCAACGGGACCTTTCCTTATGGCCAGGGTGGGTGCTGAACACAGAGCCAGAAGTCCCAGGGTAGAGCCCTTACTTTGAGAGTACTCCTCTCCCATTGGAGGTGGATGATCTTCATCCCAGTCCACAGTGTCTTCATCCGTCAGCACAACAATATGGCATTCACGTTCCCCTTTCCTTGCGCTATCCACCATTATAGGCAGAATTAGCTCCTCCAGGTAGCTATCAAATTGCTTGTGAGCACCATCGTTGGAGAGCTCATGTAACAGAGCACCTAATGAGAAATAAATCATATGATGAGCTTTTTTACACAGTATGAAAATATGTCCCAGCTCTACACTTTCCAGATACATTCAAAAGCACAGCCCGCATTCTTCTTTAGACAAACTCCTTAACATATGTTCAGATGCATCAGCAGTCTCCAGCTCCAGAGTTGGCAAAATCAGATGTATGAGACTGCATTTCAAATGGGATGCAAATTACACTGTAGAACCATTACACTGCCATTAAAAAACCACCAGGGTCCAATCAATACAGTGAAACAGTAATAGCCTGAATAATTAATTCATTACAATACTTAACTTAAATTTCCAGCAACAAATTCTCTCCTTGAAAGCACATTTTCTGCCTTCCCTGTGATCACTCATCAGAGGACAGGGTAGGAAATTCCACCCACAGCCTGTGCTGATACCACATACGCCTTTCACAGATTCGCCTATGTTAAAAGTACTTTTTTGCCAGCATACCCACCAAAAATCTGCTCCCAATCAGATCCCTTCATGACTAGGAACTCTCTACTACTTTCCAACTTTGGTTTCTTTGGTTCCTGCTCTGCCCATCATCCTTTAGCTTAAATTATTCATGATTCTCTGGTCCATTTTAGATAGGAGTTATAACCCTGCTCATAGCCTTCATTTTGTTTGGCTTCTAACAACAAACTCTTCTTTTCAGCCTCTATTACAATAGGAGACCAGAATTTTTGCAACTTCAATTTGCTTTTTTGTGCAAGGTGTCTGCGTTCTGTAGGATTCAATCCCTTCACTTTGGATTGACGCAGCAAAAAAGGAAGCTGTTTAAATGCAACGCATACAGGACTCCTGGTGGAGTCCATAGCTTCATACCTAAACTAAAGCACACAATTAAGAACTGCACTGAATCAGGATCAGAGCGCTCCACACCATGCAGATAATCTCCTAAGAGCCGATTTCTCTCCATACTTACTTAAATCTTGACATTTGATTGTGTTGAAATCAAAGTTTATGCAGAGGTAATCACATGTGTCTCGAAGGTCTGGGATGGAAATCCCATCAGGGCAGTTAATGATTCCAGTTTTGTAATAATCCTGCAAATAAAAGGACAGTTTTTGGAGAGAAAAATTAAGAATAGCTTGGACTCTGATCATTTGTAATTGGTCCTTTGTTTTGTTAACCAACATTTGAGAGCTACGGAGGCTATATATAGCACTGTGAACAGTTAAAATGGCCCTGCTTGTCTGAGAATCTACGTCTCTCTGTAGATCCTCTTGGGTCTGATAAACGGTGAGCCCCAGTTAAAACTTTTTCCATGGCATAGGGTTTCATAACATCATATGCAATATGCAGTTATATGCAACCACAAGGTCAGGACACAGCTTGGGAACTATAACAGCACGACACAAGAAAGGTAAAAGGCAACATGAGCAAATATCTGAAATGTTGACTCATACCAAAGTCTACTATAATTTTTTTTAAAAATCACAATGCAAAACAGTAATAAAAGAATATGTCCTGGGGGGGTGCAGCTGCCTGGGAGATGGCTCAGTTTTGCACATGTGACAAACAGCTTTTTTTTTTTTTTTTTTTCAATCTGCAAGCATCTCCTTACCAGCACAGTCCGGAACACAGCTGAGCTAATTCCTTCTGCGATTTCATACTCTCCCTTTTCATTTGGCCTGGTGAAATTGTATTCTCTTCCTGGTCCAAACATTCTGAACAGATAAAAATCTACGTAAGGGCACAAGTATACCTAAATGCATTAATTCTAGAGACGAAGAGGCACACTGAAGTTAAACAAAACCAGTAATGACACATCTATACAGCAACTTGAAACCTACATTCAAATCTCTTAAACAGTAAATTAGCACAAGAGCTGTCTCGGCTAAGTCCTCCTATAGCTGGACTCTGTTGCTATAGCTACTGTACTGTATGGAACAAGCCACAGATCAGAGGAACAACCATTCAACCCTGGGTCAGAAAATACCCTGGCAATAAAGCCCTTTCACTGAGGCTATGCAAGACAACCGCTGCCTGCCTTTTGATCCCTTGTGCTAGGGTCAGTTACCCAACAGAACCTGTCTCCCTTTGGTCAGAGATGGGTGAAAGTGCTGGCAATACCAAAACTGAGTGCTTCTTGTTGCATCGATAGGCTCCAACCCTTAAGCCACGTTACAGGGAGCTGAGTAACTTCTCTTTTGGGAGGGTATCAAAAGATAACAGCAGGAGGGGGATGGAACATTATCATTTTCCCCATTCTGGAAGGGAGGTTATCAGCTCTGCACAGATGTACTATTTACAAATGAGGCAAACACTTGGAGCGAAGGCAAAAGGAGACCATGCCTAGCTAAAAGTGCACATTGTTTGAAGGAAGTGGACTGAAGGGAGAATATTATCTAGAGAACTCCCAGCTCTCTCTACATCTGGTCACGTCTTCAAGGCCTCACTCACAGCCAAGTTCTGAATGAGGTCAACCTTGCTTCACTTGGGCATACAGATGAGATTGCAAAACAAACATTAGGGCTTTGTTCCATTCTAGCAAACAATTGACTCCCTTGAGGTACCTTGAAAATAGTGGAAATCACCCACCTTCCCAGCATGGTATCGGGGTGAGCAGTGAAAATCTGTGGATTCACTGCAAAGCGAGTGCCATCTACCACAAGGGTCACTTTCTCGGGAGCCACTGTTTGTGAATTGCCGCTTGAAGATGAAGCACAGCATCCATGGCGTTCCTGGGTATTAAAATATTCTGTCTGTCTCTTATTTCCATCTTGGAAATGAGAGTTGTGCGTGTCTTCAGGAGCAGACAACATGCTACTGATCTGAGGATTTACTGGACAAGCAGTGTGTCGGCATTCAGAATCTAAACCTGAGAGAGAGAGATGAATATTGCAAGGGTAAGATATAATTTACTGAAAAACCTCATTTCATAGTAACACTTCCTACTGTAATGAGAAAACTGAGTCATACAATAACAAAGGATGTCCATATACAGAACTGTCAGGGTAATGTCATATGACATAAACCTAGACTGCATTTTCAAATTGAGCCAGCAGTTGGATTTTGGATAAAAAATTTCCCGATGAAACACGATGCTTAATACTGCTTGTTAAATCTGTTCAGCGACAACCTCAGGAGGAGCCGCAAGTTGGCTAGCCAGGGCATACCCCTGTGATGATCTTGCCTACCACCACTAGGGTACATACTCCCCAGTGCAAACTGCCCTGGGACACTGGAATTTTTCCAAAACACATTACCCTCAAAAAAAATAAACAACCCCAAAACCTCACTTAAAGATTTCTATAAGGTAAAGACGTTATCCTCACCCTCAGTCCTGGGAACTGCAGCAGGGCTGTGACCTCCTAGCACCACATTACTTTCTTCTGACTCATGAACTGCTACAGTTATGTTTTCCACAGAGCAATTGGACTCCGGATTTCTTGACCAGTCTGTCCCACCAGCACAGTTAACATTCATGCTGGGCCTCCGTGACGTGAGGAGCTGGTTGCGTTTCCTAAGAGAAGAGCTAGGAGAGAAAATACCAGGTGGTTAGTTTTGGAAGAAACTCTTGAGCAAGAAACTTTTGAGCAATGAAGCTCAAATCCCTGTGTCTGGTACAGAAAGCTAAGTCCCTCGGGCTCAAAAAGGCATTTCTTCAGGTACTTAACTGTGTTTCAGAGAGGCTTATGATGCTAGCTGTGCCCCTACACTTACCTAGGAAGAAGGTAAAAAAGGCTTTAAAGTAACCTGGGGCCTATTAATCTATAAACCTTTGCTTTTTTAAAAGTAAGTCTAAAGCCACTGATATCTTCAGATCACACGTGTGTTCCTGCAAATACCTTCCTGGCAACTGCCTGACCTCCAGACCACTGGAGTCATTAAAAAATGTTTACGCATCTCTTGATTCCCAGCACTGGCAAAATGAGCTCTCTAACATGGCTATAGCCCAAAATACAACATTTTCCCAGTTAACAGCTCAGGCATTGCCTCTGAACCACTGTGAGGTTTGACTGGGATGTTCCCTGCTCCCAGTCATTGCTTTTTTTTGGTTTTCCTTCTTGATTTATCACCCTCCCGTCATATAGTGCTGTGCTGGGTTTGGCCGGGATAGAGTTAATTTTCCTCATAGTAGCTCATATTAGGCTGTATTTTGGAATTGTGCTGAAAACAGCGTTGATAACACAGGGAAGTTTTTGTTCCTGCTTAAAACTGAGCAGGGCTTACACAGAGCCAAGGCCTTTTCTGCCGCTCACCCCACCCTACCAGCGAGGGGCTGGGGGGGCACAAGGAGCTGGGAGGGGGCACAGCCGGGACAGCTGACCCCAACTGACCCCAGGGGCATCCCACACCGTGTGACGTCGTGTTCAGCACATAGAGCTGGGGGAAGAAGGAAGGAGGGACGTTGGGAGCGATGGCATTTGTCTGCCCAAGTCACTGTTACGCATGATGGAGCCCGGCTGTCCTGGGGATGGCTGAGCACCCGCCTGCCGAGGGGAAGCAGGGAATGAATCCCTCGTGTCGCTTTGCTTTCCCTATTAAACTGTCTTTAATCTCAACCCACCAGTTTTCTCCTTTTTACTCTTTGGATTCTCTCCCCCATCCCACTGAGGGGGGAGTGAGTGAGCAGCTTTGTGGGGCTCAGTTGGTGGCTGGGGTTAAACCACCAGTGCTCACCCCAGTATTTAACCCAATATAGCCCAACAACAAATACTGTATCACACAGAAGAGCCATGACTACAGCAGCCTCACATCCATCATATCCTGGCTCAGCCCGACATGCATGATGCTTTAACCAATGCCACTCAAAGTGGCACACACAAAGAGACATCTTCTCTTTTTTTCTGTTTGGCCACTTTATTCTTAAGTGAAATTCTTCTTCCCTCTTCCTACCTTTAAAAGCCATTTCACTCCCTTGTATCCCCTAACAGATCTCTTTCACTGTCTCTCTCCCTCATTCTCTCTCTGGCATTTATTTTGTCCTGCTATTGCCTAGGACAAGGCACAGCTCTCCTTTCTTGGCTTGAAGTGTTTTCCTTTCACGCTCTCAAACATAAAACACCAATTTCCTCATTAATGAATTTTCCCAGTTTCCCCCCTGCAGAACAATTGTCCTGTGTCTTTTTCTTGGCTGAATTAAGACTCCAGGGCCTGCGGGTGCCTCTATAAAGCATGGCAGAACACTGACGTGGCTAGATACAGACCAGATAGAATACAGCACTAATAAAACAACAAAATGCCAAATAAGAGTTGGCGAGTTTTCTGGTCAGGACCTGCTGGAGATGAAGGCCTTAATGAGCGGATC